TGATGGTGGTGAAAATTTAAAGTTAAATGATGATGATGATGATAATTCAATATGATTAGTTGGTGTTGTTTGTTCATTATTATTATCTAGAATATCTGATGTTGGTAATAGAATAGATTGAAAATGATCGGTTTCATAAATTTCATCATTTGCTTCTGGTGAATATTCATTTCCATCATCTATTATTGTTTTTAATGAAATAGCTACACCATTTATTGGTTCGGATTCATTATCATATTGATTTGATTGACGTTGTTTTTTAATTTGTGGTTCTTGTATTGCTGTTATTTCTGAACTATTTAAATCTCGATAAAAATCTTGTTCACGTACACGATTTTCATGTATTTTAACTTCCATATTTGGATGACAAAGTTCAATATGAACCATAATTGTTGATTTTGTTGTCGATTTATGACCACAATATGCACATGCATATGGTGTTAAATCTGTATGACGATATATATGATTTTGCATAAGTGATGTTGATGGTGCTTTATAATCACAATGTTTACATTGAAAACGTAATGGACGTTTATTTGTTGGTTGAGTTTTAGGTGTTGATGATGGAATTGAAATAGTTGAATCTAACATACGTTTACCAGTAGGTAAAATACGTTTAGGTGAAGTAATTGATGATGATGATGATGAAGAGGATGACGATACCGTTGAAGATGGTGGAGAAAGTAATACAGGTAATCTTTTTCTAATACTTAAATCAAGTACACCGTTATTAGTTCCATCTTCATCGTCTGTTATAACTTGAGTTATCATGATAAATCTAAAGTATGATTTTGTTGATATGAGTCATCGAGTTAAATTCATAAGAAAAAAAAATATGGCATATTCTCTGTCTTCATCGCGTTTTTACTCATGTAATTGACTATATTAGTCATACTATATATGGACTATATAATTTATGATACTCAAATGTGTATTTTGTTTACTTAGTTTAGCAAATAAGAACTACGCTTTCTTTTTGTGTATTACTTATACTTGAAACTCTTGCTAGTTCGTATCAATATATATTTACTTATTTGATTTCAAAATATGCAAAATTTTAAATCATAAATGCTTTTAAGATAAAGAAAGATAGGCGATAATGCTAATAGACAAATCTGTCAATGTTTATATAAGTAAATATTGAACAATTGCTAATAAACATCATCTAACAAAATTTCTTACCCGCTTTCAATCAGGTGACAAGAGAGA